CGTTACCTATTAAATCCTCGTGTGTATGTTATACGGGGGGGGGGGCGAAAAAGTCACTTCTCTCCACATTCAAAACGGATTCAAATACTTCTACACCGACGACATCAGAAGATTTTCCCACGGAAACATGGTTCACGGTACGAGCTCAACGAGGTCGTCGAGGTACCATAGACCATTACGACGTCCCTGAAACGCTGGTCAAAAGCGGTCTTGCACAGTCACAGCTAGTGTCTCTGGGAAGCTATTCACCAGTTAACCGATTGAAGAAATTATGTAGCAGCTTCAGGCCGGAGCGATTAGTTGAGCTCGACGGTGACGGCAGATGACGTCATATTCTGAAGACGGTGGGGCAGTGAAGGAGGGCCTGCTTCTGCTTATGGGGGACACCTAAGGAATATTCTGCCGTAAAACATTCATCAACAACGGCATCCTGTGCGACGAAAAATTTGATGATGTGCGCCATAGGCAAAGTGACTCTTTTTGCCCCCCCCCCTGTAGTTACTGCTTACACTGCACAGGATTTACACATTCAGAAATCGGAAGAAGTTGGCAGCTAACCGATTTACACGTAAGGGAGGTTAGGCGAATGAGGAAGGCGATACATTAAAATGGTTTTTGTTACGATAGCAGCGAGCCATACCGAGGGGACTAGTGGTGGATTTCACTCGCAGGGTCAAACTCACCACCTATCTTCTACCCCTTCCTAACTTCTTCTTTCTTACTGTCAGCCTTGCATGCCCACATCAAGGAAAAGTGTATCCTGCATCTGCGCAGTTGTTTCTGCAGTTCAGATTTTTGATGACGAGGCCTGACGTCGTTTGCGGTTAGGAGTTGGCAGGAATATAGTAGGAATTATAATCTGTACTGAGGATTAATCCCCCGCTTGGCAAACACAAGCGAGCTGTCAACCCTCAGCCCAGGTTACAACTTCTGCCATATTTAAGTACTTCACCGAGAAAGCTCTAAGCCCGTTTATTCCCCGGCTCGAGTAAGTTTTTTGAAGGCGTACAGCAGTTGCAGTAGGAGGGATGGTCAATGGAGTCAGGTCATCGAGGGATGACAGAAGGAGGATGATGAAGATCCACGCCGAGAGAGGGTGGGAGAGGGAAAAGCGGGTCATACTGATGCAAGAATGTGCTCAAAACTGTAGTTGGCCGTGGCTGTATTCCAAGCACCTGATAAAGCATTAGTTATCTGCCCTTCTGCCTATATTCATAAAAGTATTCCGGTTCCACACACGGGCGCTTGAAGTGAAGTTCCCTAAAATTACAATCGGAAGGATCATATTCGTTTGATGTCCTTTGTCTTTGTCACAAGCTATTGTGTTTCATGCTCAAAGAATATACTAGGTACCGGGAACCGAAAAGAGGCAGTGTGAAGAACTTCCTTTTGGGCGACCTTTTACTCATACAGAATCAGCGATATTGCAATTCCTTATAATGTATTTGTATTTGAAGTAAGGGGTGACGTACTGGACAGAGGCGCCACTGACCACGCGGTGAACGTGTAGTCACGGATCGATTCGCCCAGGCCAAAGAAGGCTTTTATCACTTTGGGGTCTTATGATTAGTATTGGACATAAAGGATAAAGGATAAAGCATTTGCCGTTGATCAATCCCTTTTGGGATGCGGCACGCATTCTACTTCCATTTGTACATTCGTAGTGGCGTTTGAATGCGATGTGGCCTATACAATGACTTGCGGGGCCAGCCGATGTACAAGTCAGTGTTTTTATCCTCCCAGACAAGTCTGGTACCAATTAACCGACCCCGGAGGGATGGAAGGCTTGGTTGGCCCG